TTTTAGTGAATATCAGTGTAAACCATCAATTTGTTTGTTCCTTGTCCCTTAAGTGATCCTTGCTCCCTCTTATATTTTTAGTAGCCTCTTCTCCACTTCCTGCTCCTTGGCCTTCAAAGTTAAATCTTCCTAGTTCTAAATGAGATAATGCATGTCAAGTGCTGCCCTATGGCAAAATGATTTCAACAGATGTTAAGTTGTTTTGTTTGTTTTTGTTCTAATAGAGCCATCAACTCTCTCTCTCCCCCACCCAAGTAAACATACCATGATTCTCCCATTGCCCACTTGAACTTGTAGAAGGAATAGTGCATACTCATCCTACTGCCGCAGCTCACTGCAGTGTGGGTTTCGTCTGCCTCTGAATTGATAGCACCGTTGTGCTGCAGACCAAGGCATAGCTTTACCAGGAGGCTCTGTAAGCTTCTAGCCTTGAGTAGTCCTTGTCAACACTGTTTTGCAGCCTCCTTTCAGGAGTGGGATATTTTATTGTCTGAAGTTTTCTTTAAAGTAATTTAATCTGTACTTTAGGGTTGCTTGGTTAACATTTTTGAAGTACCTTAATCAGGAATCCACACTCCAGGGGTAGTTAGTTAACATTTGAAAGAATCTAATCAGGATTCTTTACTCCAAAGGCAACCAGGCATCAGATACTGCTCTCTCAGCCTGCACCAGTGGTTGCACTGATTAGAATATACGATGCTAGAAGTAATTCTTCATTGGTGAAATGAATGGTATTTAAGATACATAGTTGACCAAGCCTCCATCCGGTCGAGGAAGGAGGCTAGGATTTGGTGAGGCCAGCAGCCTGACACCCTAGGTCCAGAGTTCACCGTGGGCCTGTGCTGGCAGCTGACTAGTGCAGCTGTCACACGCCAATCCTGCCTGCCTCTGCCCGCTTGGCCACCCAGTGCCCATGGGACCCACTCCCTGACTCCGCTGTTTGCATCTCTTGTCCACAGAGATGTTAATCTGAATTTTGAGCCAGACTACTTCTTTTTAATTTAATTTATATTTTATCTATAATTGTGTTTTGAGTGGATAGAATACCTCAAGAGTATGTATTTATAGTACCGTTTTGATCAGAAGCACAGGAGTTATTTTTAAGTGGTAACTTTCTGATTATTTTCTACTTGAGAATATTGTAAGTCTTCTGAGGCCAGGTTCCCATCTGTGAGGGCAGCACTGTAGGTGTGTAATTCTTTTGATACTTTGGTAGGTATGCTTGGTAAACTTTTAAAGGCTTCCTTTTATATTCTGTTGTATATTCTGTCCCTTAGTGGCAGACAGTTCTCATGTTATATAGGGATAATGTTCTTCACTACAATATGTAACAAGTTATATGTAGGTTGAAATCATATATGTGAATAAACTTTACATGGTTTATGTACCATGCATAGTGCAAGCAATGATATTAACCAGGAGATTCTATAGTAAACATGATAGTAATACTATACTATAATTACTATACTACAGTTGTTTTACTATACTGTACTATAATTGGGGCCCTGGTGGCATAGTGGTTAAGCATTTGGCTGCATACCAAAAGGTCAGCAGTTCGAATTTACCAGCTGCTGCTTGGAAACCCTGTGGGGCAGTTCTGTGCTGTCCAATAGGGTTGCTATGACTCGGAATCGACTCATCGGCAATGGGTTTGTTTTTTGTTTGTTTATACTATAATTACTAAGGTAATTATACCTTTATATGTATATTTATAAGCAATAAATTAAATAATGTAACTTATTTGATAAAAAGTTAAAGTGTATTACCAGCACTTTATCTTGTGCAGTTCGGTAATGGACGTATATAGCTATGGCAGGTGTTACTGATCTTGATCTGCCAATTATACTGAGAAAGAAAGGCAGCCACGGACTGGTCTGGATTACTTTCTGTACTCACTGGAAGCCAGAAAAGTAGTTTTTAAAAAATAAAATATTTAGCTACAAAGATGAATTATTCACCTTGCTTATGTTACATTTTTAAATGGGCCGTCTGTAATATAGGTATATATATAAGTAGATATAGGCCGTGTAATAGATATAGATTTAAACTCTAGTTAATAGAGTCATAGAATTGCAGAGCTTAACAGAGACCTTAGATATTATCTAGTTAACCCTTTCATGAGTCCGAGACAGTCTTAGTTAAACTCTTCCTTCCATAGTATTACATATTTAGCCCCACCCACAGAAAACCCATTGCCGTCGAGTCGATTATGACTCATAGTGACCCTATACGTGATTTATATTCATTAGGAATATATATCTATGTATCCGTATCTACAGATTATGTGCATAATAAAAGTAACACTTGGGGCCAGTAGGTTTTTAGTAGAAATAATTGATTAAAGGACATGAAAGTCTTTTAATACTTAGCAGTATTCCATCAATCAGTGACAGTGACAGTTCTCCAAACTAGGTTCAAGAAAGCATCACTTGGCAAGATCTTCAGAGCAGAAAAATCAGACGTAAGAGAATTGGGAAAGGTAGTATTTCTAATTTCTAAATGCTCTAAAACCTGCACATTGAATACATTTTGTTGTAATAAAAATACTAGGGAATAGTTTAGGGTTTAGTAGTAGTTTGCAAATATGTACATTTTAATGATGGTATAAGGCCTTCCTGAATTTCATCTAAATTAATTCTGTGTAAGGTTTTTTTCATAAAGCTCCAGTAATTCTATCTGACTTCAGAGCGTTTTTGTGATTATTAGAATAGTCTTTATGGTTGATTATATTATCCTTTTAAATTGCCTTTTAATTTTCAGCTGATGTAAGTGAAATAGATAATATAAATTAATTAATATTGGATCTGCTAGGTGTTTATGCTCTGGGAAATTTCAGGAGACAAACAGAAAGATAAGGTTCAAAACAAATATTCCATGTGGGTTTGTGGCATTTATTATACTTGCTTATTTGCTGTTTTTTTTAATGGGCTCCCTGTCATATTTGTGTGCATATAAATAGCTATATGCCATGTAATCTAGGAACTTATAGATTTAAACTGCATCACCTCATCACTAAATGACCCTTGTGGCAGAGAGCTGTGATATTCAGGTGGCCTTTTGCACGTGTCCTGTTTGTGCCTCGTACGTGCTCTTGTGTGGAGAGCATTTTGTCCCAGTGAAATTGCTGTTACTTTCTTTCCTGCCTGAAGCTCTGCTTACAGTTTTGCTTCATTTTTTTCTCCCTATAACGTGCTGAATTTAGATGGCTTCTTGGCTGCTAAGTGTTTTCCTCCCCTTGCTATCGGGGTGGATTTGGCTGGATGGAGTAGTTCTATGGCCTAAGGTTTCTAACTTCTTCATGTGAAGAACAGAGCCAGTAATTGAAATCTGTTTTTGGAACATTACGTTTGGAGATAGTGATGATTTTGTTTGATTTGTCTTCAAAATTGTCATCTTTAGAGGCTTAAGGCTTCTTGGTTCTGCTTTCAGTTTTACTATGATTATTAAAAAAAAAAAATTAAATACCATATAATCAACTGCCTTCTACATTGCCAAGAAAACCATATGATTTCAGTCATTCTTTATGTACTTTTCTCCTCTTAGGCTTCTGGGGCCTGGTGAGTCTAAGTAAAACAACACCAATATGATAGATATGTAGAGGATTTATTCACATGAGAACAAACCTATGTAGGCAATTATATAATATGTGTCATTAAATGCTTTAGTTCATATTTAAGTGAATTTTATGAATTGGGAGGGGGGAGAAAAAAAGAGACTGGGGAGAATAGCCTACATGGGATTCTATGTTGTCTGAAGTAGAGGTTTTGGAGACATGATCCAGCAATCCTACAAAGATTTACTCCATGTACTGGCAAATTGGCACTCTTCCCTAAATAAACAGATGTCAGTACCATTGCAGTGGTGCTGGACAACTTAAGAGTGGGCTTGTAGTACAGTTGAGCTTGGATCTATTATACAAGAATGCATTCATTCTTTCAGGATATCAAATATTTAAAAAAGCCATCCAGTTGTAGGTTTGAAGGGTGGAGGAGAGGGGAAAACTCTAATTACTAGGGTCTGTCTGCAGAGCAAAAGTCTCCATTACTAGGGTCCATCTGCCGGCTTTTACTCACTTATGTTTTACTTATCGTAACCCAGCCATTTGTAAATTGAGAGAAGCTTTTAACTTGTGGTGCTTATGATAGTTGTGAAACCCCTGAAATCCTATGAAAAGTTTTGCATGTAGGTGCATTGTTTTGAGGAGAAAGTCTGTGGTTTTCAGTAGATGATAGAGGTCTCAGATCACCAATGTCCGTAGGGGTTAAGAACCACTGTTCTGGGCTGTTTCTTCCATTCATGCCAAATGGCTTGGATCAAAGTTGTAGCCTCTATGGAGACTTTTGACATGTAAAGTTACTGCTCTGAAAACTTCTATGGATTAGCAAGACCTATCACCTATAGATAATGTTGCTGTAGATAATCTATTTTTCTTAAAGAAATAGTTTTTTTTTTGTATTTATGAAATATATTTTCATTACTTTTTTCGGTCTTGTCTCACTTACTTATACATGTTGTTTTTCCTTTATCTTTTCTTTATCTCTTTTATGATTTGTTATATTAATTTTACCTTATTTACCTTTTTAGGTTTGTATTTTTAATGTCTTTTTCTCCAGCTGCTTATCCTTAATAATTAATAGGAACTTAAGACTAGGGTGCGACTCTTCAGCCCTCTTTTGCAGCACCCAGTATGGCATTCCGTAAACAGTGAGTGCTTAATAAATTTCATTAACAGACTGACTCGTTACACAAATGGCAATCTATGGAAAACTTCCTATGGAGATTTACTTATCAGTTTTTAATAGCTTCTGCCTTTTATCGCTAACTAATGTGGATGATTTGTAGGATGTATCTGTTATTTTGTGATTCTTGGATAGTTACTTTGTAAATATAACTTAATTATACTTTAATTGAAAAATATTCAAAGCAGTGATCCTATTTATGAGATCCTCTGTTTTTGTATTTTGTAGTGGAATCTGTTGTTTATTTTGTTTATCTTACAGTGAGGGAGATAAACCTGCAGGAGATCAAGGAGGATTTGGAGTTGGATCCAGAGGAGAACAGTACCCTCTTCATGGGCATCCTTATCAAGGGGCTGGCCAAACTGAAGAAGATCCCAGAGACAGTGAAGGCGATAAAAGAGCGCTTGGAGCAGGAGCTGAAGCAGATTGTGAAGAGGTCCACAACCCAGGTGGCCGACAGTGGCTACCAGAGAGGAGAGAACCTCACTGGGGAGAACCAGCCAAGGTAGGTGGGGGTGCAATTCTTGTTATTGGTAACTCTGTTTATTGTATATTTTCTTGGGTGGGGGAGTAAGTAAATGTTATCTCTATTCATGTTATTATATTGAATTTAAGACACTATAACCTATTGCTGTCGAATCAATTCCGATTCATACCAACCCTATAGTAGAGAGTAGAACTGCCCCATATGGTTTCCAAGGCTGTAGTCTTTGTGGAAGCAGACTACCACATCTTTCTCCCGCAAAGTGGCTGGTGGATTCGAACTGCTGACCTTTTGATTAGCAGCTGAGTGCTTAAGCACTGTGCCACCAGGGCTCCTTAGGATACTATAGCCCATACAAACCGTGGTGAAAACACTGTCTCGTTTTTGATGTAGTTGAGAAGTTTAAAGCCTAAAGTCCATACTCAGATAACCAAATTGAATGAAAAAAACGTAGCAATGACTACTGAACACATACTAACTACTAAGCAGTGTTCATGGCAATTTGTGTATATTATCTCATTTAATTCTCACAGCAACTTTATGAGCTAGCTATTAGGACTTACATTTTACAGTTAAGGAGACTACTGGAAGTCATATTTAAGTATTTAGCTCAAGGTCACAGAACAAGTGGCTGGTCTTAGAGTTGAATACAATCTAATTGATCCTGAAGTCCGTGATCTTTCTTCCGTCGCGTGCTTTCTTCTTTAACGTGCAGTGATCTTAGCCAAGAGTCAGATCAGTCTCAGGAATTCCTGTATTTATTTAAAACAACTAATAGGATTAGGATTTCATAATTCTTCTTTCATGAGCAGAAAACTGAAATTGTACTAAGATCCTACCTCTGTCTGTGGTTATCCTACACTGGGAGCTCATGTTTGCCAAACCAGATTTTTGGGTATCATAGACCAATGTCGGCCAACAGTGGAACAAGATACTTGACATTGTACTTTCCGGGAGAATCCAAGATCCTCTGTAAAGGGGTCTCCATGGGAGAAAAAGGTCCACGGAAACTATAGTTTCATATGAGAACACAGGGCAAAACAGTATGTCTTCTCTTTTTATTCATGTGGCAAGAGTTCCTGGGAGGTGATAGACGGTGTGTAGATGGGCTGTGATTTCCTATGACATGTTCTTTAAGAAATTCTACTGTTTGTCTTAGGACTTTTTTTTTTTTTTTTTTTTTAAAGAAGATAAACAAATTTGAGGAGAAATAATATTTGTTTATTCAGCACAGCCCCCCAGATTTTCTTCTGGTTTTTCGAAAAAAATTAATGTTATCTATTTAAGTTGTCTCTTTTGTACATCTAACATTAAATATATTTTAAAGTGCTTCAACTCTTTTCAAGTGTTTGAAAGCATGTTTTGATAAGCATGGATTTTGGAGGGGAGCAGACTTGGCTTTGAGTCCCAACTCTGTAAGGGAAGTAATACCTATCTTACAGGGCTGCTTGCTTTAGCTGGGGTTGTGTACTTACGGTGCTTAGTAGAATAGCACCAGTAAGTGCTGTTACATGCATGCAGGCATACATAACCCAAAACCAAACTCATTGTCGCTGAGTCGATTCTGACTTACAGTGACCCTATGGGACACAGTAGAATTGCCCCGTAGGGTTTCCAAGCCTGTAATCTTTATGGAAGCCGACTGCCACGTCTTTCTCTCGTGGAGCGGCTGATGGATTCAGACTGCTGACCTTTTGGTTAGCATCTGAGCACTTTAACCATTGTGACACCAGGGCTCCTTCATGCATACATACATCTTGTTAACTGTCCTTGAGTAGGCTCTAACTCACAGCAACCCTATGCACAACAGAAAGACATGTTGCCCAATCGTGCTCTATTTTCATGATTGTTAGATCAAACAATGTTCTGTGTGATCTGTAAGATTTTCATTGGCTAGTTTTTGGAAGTAGATTGCCAGGTCTTTCTTCCTTCTCTGACTTAGTCTGGATGCTTCACTGAAACCTGTCCACTGTGGTTGACCCTGCTAGTATTTGAAATAGTGGAGGCACAACTTCCAGCATCATAGCAACATGCAAGCCCTCACAGTAGTAACAACTGCCAGGCAGGTAGAGGACATACACATACATACATACACATTTATATACATATATATATAAAGTAAACAAAAATCCTCAGAACTGGGCCAGTAAGCAACATCATGATAAACAGAGAAACTGTTGAAGTCAAGGATTTCATTTTACTTGGATCCACAATCACCACCCCATGGAAGAGCGGTCAGGAAATCAGATGGCACACTGCATTGGGCACATCTGTTGTAAAAGACCTCTGTAAAGTGTTAGAAAGCAAAGATGTCACTTTGAGGACTAAGGTGTGCCTGACCCAAGCCATGGTGTTTTCAGTCACCTCATATACGTGTGAAAGCTGGACAATGAGTAAAGAAGACTGAAGAAGAATTGATGCATTTGAATTATGGTATTGATGAAGAATACTGAATATACCATGGACTGCTAGAAGAATGAACAAATCTGTCTTGGAAGAAGTTCAGCCAGAATGCTCCTTAGAAGAGGGTGGCAAAACTTCGTCTCACACACTTTGGATATGTTATCAACAGGGACTAGTCCCTGGAGAAGGACATTATGCTTGGTAAGGTAGAGGGGTCAATGAAAAAGGGAAGACCCTCAATGAGATGAATTGACACAGTGGTTGCAACAGTGGGCTCAAACATAGCAACAGTTGTGAAGATGGCACAGGAGTGGGCAGTGTTTTGTTCTTTTGTGCATAGGGTCGCTGTGAGTCGAAACCGGCTCGACAGCATATAACAACAACGAAGTATGAAAACACGTATTTACTTACTGTTAGTCCTTTACTCATCTCCCATGCTCTTTGATCACTCACACTGTGATCCAGAGAAGCTGAGGAATGATTCTAAATTGAACTTTGCTTTTCTTCTTTCTTTGCCTGGTGCCTGGATTTCAGAGAAGACCTTTCGAGTCTTTAGTAACGGATACTCCAGAATTCTGGTTTGCTATTTGCCCTGTTGCTGCAAGTCCCTAGATGAATACGCTGAACTTTCTTAGGGAAATAACATTACTATAGTATATATTGGAAATAAAATGAAAGGGCATGGATCAATAACTTTTTATAGATCTCATTACGCTATCCTTAAAAGCACTGTGTTTTTCATAGTATTTTGACATCTTCCTCCTCCATTCCTTAAGTCCCTTCCAGAACTCACAAGTGGAAATTACAGTCTTGAAGTGGAAATTCAGCACACTGCCCCAGGACATAATAAATGTTTCTCTATGAAGAATGAGTCAGTGGGCGAGTTTTTTCTCCCTTTACGTTCCGTTTTTTGTCAGTATTTTAAAAAGCTTCTGCAGGCAGGATATATGGACACTAACAAGTGAGCAAGCTGTTCGCCTTGGTTTCATGTTTGTAACATGATCCCATTTTATAAACCATACATCTCTGAAATTTTGCAGCAAAACCTTTTATTACCTGATAAAATACTACAGAGAAAAATATTTGGGGTGAACCACTTTCTTTTGGACATCAGAAATTAAATTCTTGGACTGGGATTCTCAATGACTGATAATTTTGACCCAGTCACTGGTGGGCGTGTGTTTCAAATAAGAAAAGAAATGTAGACTTCAGGTGCTGTCAAATGCTTTAAAATTCATCCAGTATTAATTTCCTTGTTAACTTTGTTAAATAATGATTCACATTGTTGGTTCTAGAGGTTTGGAATTTTAGATGGAATATTGTCAGATTGTCCGTTGAAGCTTTCACGGTGCTCGGTGTGCATCAGGCTTTAGCTGCGAGGGTGTTATTGGCAGTCATTTTAGAGAGAAGTAAAATGACAACATTAGGCGTTATTTATCTTACGGCTAAAGGTATAAGAATATTTTTCTTAAATTGGAACATAGACTAAAAGAACTATGAACCTTCTCTCCCATATGTACAAATTCTTTCCCTTACCCTCAGTGAAATAGCCTGCTACAAAACATTAGCATATAAATGCTACTCTGAGGCAAGATTCCAGCGCTGTGACTTTCCCTAAAAGTTTCATCGTTCAGCATCATCTTATTAAATATATTCTGGTTGTGATGCATTGCGGCCTGTTTTCATTTGTCTTTATGTGAAGAGAATTAATGTTGTGTGCTATTTTGCTAGAAATGTGGAAGGAACTAGGCTAGTGAATTACGGCTTGCTTTCAGTTCCTATGGAGCCAGGATGCTTTTGCAGCCAGTTTTCAAAAATCACTTTCATGATCCACTTATTATTTTATTTTATTTTTGATTCCCCAAATTATCTCTTGTCTATTTATAAGAGAAATAATTTTTCTTTTCTGTTCATTTATAATCTAGCTAGTGCTTATAAGCCACCAGTTACTATTAAAGGAAAATTTCATCCACTGTTGTTGCCAATTTGATGAACATTAGGGTAACATGTGCCTTGCTAATCTACCCGAACCACCTGCTACCCATAATTTCCCCCGAAGGGCGGGCATTATTACCAACTTCAGATGGCCTAGGTGGCCTGCTGTCTGTGCAGCTCATAACCACTTTTTTTCAACTCCTGCTGCCTCATTGTTGATTCTTTTCCAAAATCTGGCTTATGAGCATTTTCATGTTATTTTTGTTTCAAATAAGCTGGAAGAAGTTCTCTGATATTTAACAAATAAGAAAAGCAGGAGGAATAGATGGAAGAAAGAAATGTCTTCTCAGAGGTGTGATACCTTGACAAGAATATGGAAGAGAGAAGAATGTGGGAAAAGAAAAAGATTGACATGCATAAGAGAACGACTGTCCATCTATTTGAAAATGACCTTGTTTAAATGTGAGGGCAGAAAAGTCACTGCTGGGGTAGATGGTAGAGGCCTGGTCTACTCTGGTAAAACTGTGGGTCATGAAGAGGGTGAAGAGGTTGATTGGCTGCCAGAAGGACCTTTTCCTTTTGGAAGGAGACCATTTCAGGAATGTTCTTTGACCTCTGTTATGAAGGAAGAGCGAGTTTAATAGTCTGATATGAAAAGCAGAGGAGAACATTACATGTTTGCA